ATCCCATCCAGGGGGGAGTAGAAACACTGCTGGTTGTTTTATGCTACAGAAATGGAGATAACTACAGAACGGAGATAATTGCTGGTCTGATGGGCCACAACTCATACCGTATGCTGTTATTGTTAGTCTATCAGTTACTAATAATTATTTTGAACACCCATTTAGTTCACCTATAAGGACTTTTGGGACGAAATAAAACTGCTGCACCCTTTTTTGTCATTATCACCGAGTGAAGTACTTATTGCAGTTTTTGTATAATTTGTAGCAAATTTTGTTGCATCCACTTGCTCACCAAACCAGGGATACTTTAAAACAAATGCCATCTCTCGTAAAGAACTGACAGGCAGAGTAGCTGACTGATTTTTGCTGGCAGCCGAGTACTTTGGACAATCCTTCAATTCCCATGAGGTGATAATTAATTCAACCTTAGGCTTTTCAACTGTTGCCTGAAAGAAATTTAAAGTTTGTAGTCTCATAATTTTGTGGAGGCGTAATGGCCTCAAGGTTAGTGCGCTCGTCCCCAGAACGAGCGGTCTGGGTTCGAGCCCTGGCCAGGGTCACTGCGTTGTGTTTTTGGGCAAGACACTTAACTCTCACAGTGCCTCTCTCCACTCAGGAGTACAAATGGGTACCGTCGAATTGTTAGGGAAACCCAATCTATCAAATTGCCGGGAAGTGACCTGCGATGGACTAGCATCCCGTCCAGGGGAAGTAGAAATACTCCCAGCCACTTCATGCTACAGAAACCGGGATAAGCTCCGGTAGCTATGAGCCAGTCGGCTCCAAGGCTTCACTTAATCTCATAATTAAAGTTCTTAGTTTCCAATAACTTAGTAACAACTAAAAGGTGTGCCTGACCTTAACAGGTTTTTCTTGCTCAACAGGTGTGTTTTCAAGTGCTCTAACAATGTTCATTCCCTTAGAGACTTGGCCAAAGACAACGTGCTTCCCATCAAGATGTCCAGTTGGAACAGTAGTGATGAAAAACTGGGAACCATTTGTGTTTGGACCAGCATTTGCCATAGATAGTAAACCAGGTTTATCATGCTGCAAGGAATTCATCAACATGTCTTCATTTAATAACTAGTTAAGATTCAATACTGTTACGTGCCCCAGATACAGGATTTTAGTGAAAGGGGTTTGAGATACAGACCACCGAAGGTGGTCCCCTGTAGAAGGGCTCTGAGGGCATCCTTCACCAGAAAATTGACGTCCTTGGAAATGGGATTTCTGGCATTCTGAGGCCCAGTGAGTCAGCATATTATAACGTCTCATTTTTTTTATTTAGGGGTTCATTGCGGATTGACGTCAACTGCTCTATTCTACAAGATGCAGGTAATAATTCTGGGTAGCTAATATTAA